AAAATCAATTTACATTCGACATAAAGTTTAAAATAGCATGGCAGATGAAATAATAAAATAAATATATTATATACTGTTATTATGAAGCAACTCTAAATATGATAAATGTGCGCATTGTAATGAAGCTAACTCAAATAAAGCATGGTGCCTATCATGCGATCCTGATATAGAAACAACAAGGTAGACAAATAGAAATAAGATAATTGGCCCTGTATGAAAAAGTTCTAGCTTAAAATCTGGGAATATGATTGCATAATTGAGTGGATTCTAGAGGTCTGCAACCCAGGCTCATGTCTGTGCCCAACAAAAATGCTAGGCATGGACATGGGCATGAGCATAGAAATTAGATATTTATTATTTAATTGTGTTTGGCACTTTGCCTAGCACTTGTGCCTAGCATCTAGTGCTTAGCCTGATGCCAATGTGCCAGACATAGGCATTTGCAGACCTTTATATTGCCTGGCACTTAGTATCTATAGTGTCAGTACTGTGTCTACTGTGCCTATAATAGTGCCCATAGTGTCTATAATAATGCCCATAGTGCCTATAATAATGCCAGGCACTTTAGTGCTAGTGCCTATTATAATGCCTGACACTTTTGTGCTCATGCCCATAGTAATGCCTAGCATTTTTGTGCCTTTGGCATAGGCATAATAATGCCTGGCATAGTGTCAATATGCTGGGCATGGGCATTTGCAGAGTCCTAATTGGTATTCATTTTCTAGGTCTAGCCTTTATAGTAGTACCATTGAAGATCTGTGTTACCTCTCTGCTCAGAATTTTCAAGTGAGCTTTGGCTTTCCAGTTCTATGAATTTATACAGCCTGAGAACTTATTTTAGGTTTGCACTGCCTGGTACCAGTTTGCATTCCTCTGTGTAACAGGTTACACAGATGCTCCAGACCTGCCAGTCATGCTGGTGCGACCATAGTTACAGGTATCTTATTCCAACTGATCGACAGAATGCTGTTGCCGTAATACTGTCTATATATTATATAGGTGATTATCCAAATTTCACCATCAGTGGGTTTTGAACTCACAACCTACCACTTGGGAGTATGACAACTTATCCACTTTACTAAGTCATCACACCCTTAAAAAAAATAATTTTATTTACTGCCTGCTAAATCGAACTAAGTATAAAACTTTTGCAATCTGTAATTAATATTGTAAAAGATGCAAAAATAAAAAGCAAATAATAGATTTGAATCCAATATCAGTAAAAAAAGCAAAGCTTTTAAAGACTGGCCTTAGTACAGAAATTATAGGCAATATTTTGAGCACTAATGTTATCAATAATTTGGAGACCCTGAATTATTTCTTGGGCAAGAAGCTTTTAAAGAGGATATAGCAAATTATCTACAAGTAAATAACACAAATAATGCTAAAAATAATTACTATGATACTGATAATAATAAATTTTTATATAGTATTAATAAAATAGAAGAGTTAATTAGCACAAAATTTCATGAATTAGGAAATTACAATGAATCTGAACCTGTAAAATTTGCATTTAAAATTGAATTAAATCTCAAACTTGCTAAATATGTTAATTAGAATTACTCATTCAAATTACTTGATTTAAAAGTAGTTAAGAATAATTTTCATCAACTTTCAAAGATAATTATTATTGCAATTGAGTCTGGGTCTAATTACTATTGAAAAATACATAAAGTATATTTAAATTATAGTAAAGATAAATTTAATAGTTGCACAACAATTTATCTTGAATGTACACAGTAAGAGAACCATCAATTGCAAAGAACTGAAGATTAGCTGGTAAAATAAAAAAGTGAAGTGTAAACTTCAATAGATAGATATGCTTGTAATAAAAAAATTACACTTATAATTAACTTTCAAAAGCAGCATATTCTAGTTCAAAAACAGCATCTGGAGGCATATCCAAACCCAAACTATTAGAGAATTCAATTTTTTGTAAAAGCAAAAAAGTGAATAAAAGCAAATATTAAATATAACTTGCAAACTCCTAAAATTTACAAAGGTCTCTGTAATAAAGGGTATATAGATCCCAAAGTGCATACTGTGGAGCAAACATATTATTGAGTATCTATTTTAAGCAAAAAAGCTTATATTATAAATAAAAAAAACCAGGTTTTATTAGCAAAAGAGTAAATTGAACAGTCCAAATTTATATCAAATGAATACAAACCAATTTATTATTATAAAAATGACTTTGTAAGAGCTTTTAAATTTGTAACACTATTGTTAACTTATAGCAATATTAATGATATAAATAAAATTGTAGTAAATTCTATATTCAAAACGAACTAAGAATGTTTTAAGCTTTTTGTCATAAATGCCAATTGTGGCAGATATGATATGCCTTTAGCATACTTGTATCTTTTAATATTAGATGGTATTGAACTAATGCTTAATGATTCTAAAAATAAAATAAACATCAAAGTACAAGTGTTATATGAGTTCTTTAGTAATCTTAGAAAAATTGGACTACTTTCTGTATTTGCATTTATAGATAAGGATGCTGATAAAATATTGGCTATAAGTGAAGCATAGTTATGAATTACCGATATTCAGTTGTGTTATTAGCATTTTGAACATGTCATAAGTTAACAACTAAAAGATAAAAAAGCCAAAACAACTGGATATATTAAAATAAAAGCTACTGAAACTCATTAGCAATTTGAATTTATTGATCTAAATTAGATATCTAATGCAAGTGCTAAAGTTCTTTGTTCTGAAGATTCTATTAGAAAATTTTTAGAAATAATAAAAAAGCATGCAAACATGCATCCACTCATCTCTATAATCAAAAATATCTTTTGGAGTTCAGTTAATATTTATTATAATTATGTTGAAGAAGTCTATTTATTCTGTCATAATCATAATTTTAATAAATTTTGGAGTTATCTATGGGTAAATTGGTATAACAAAAAAGATTAGAAACTTTTTGCCTGATCAACATATCCAATAGCTATACCACTAGCATGAACTATTATAATTACTGAAAGTCATTAGCAGGTTCTTAAATATAACTATATATATAATTATAATCAATCAAGACTTAACTGTCTTATTCAAATTCTTGTAGAACAACTAATGCCTACTTTTGAACTTAAACCAGATCAATTTGATGGTAGTAAAACTTTTCTATCATAGTAGAATAGTTTTAAGCATAATTGAAATAAAGCAGTAATTGCAAAAGTTTAGTCTAATATAAATGAAGCTTATTATATTAATGTTAGTAACTGGGTGTGTTCATGTCTTGCATACTTATGCAGTCATTATCTTATTTGTAAACATCTTGTGACTAAAAAAAATAGTAATTATTTTCAACCTATTTTTATAGAAACAACATGCAAATATGATTATTCTTTGATTGTTTTTGGAAAAAACAAGATATCAGCAATCAGTCCAATATACAACCCTTGAATTAAATATGAGATAAATATAATAAATAATTTTAATAATGAAGAATGTTCTACTATTACATATCTTCAAAGTGTATCAGTAATATCAGAACATGCCATTATAGAAACAAGATGAACCAAACTCTATAAATATAGAAAAACAATAAATATAGTATTAGTTTTATATAAATAAAAAATAAATAATAATAATTTTATAGATGCTTTTAATAACTTGATGAAACCATTAATGAAAGAAATTAATGAATATCAAGTAATATTACAAACCTATAACTAACAAAAAACTTGGAAGCAAGGTGGAAAGCTTGCATTTTGGCTTCGCTAATTCATATTCAATATAGTAAATATAATAGAATATTTTCTAACTTATTAGGTCTAACTTGTAAGCATTTATTTTCTATTACTTCTTAATAATTTTTTTTTTTTATTTGAATAATGAATATATTTATATTATCTTTATATATTATTTTGTTCATAATAACATTACTATAGAACTTAAAGACTCAATAGGCTTAGTATATATTTTGTATTCATAATTTTTAACTTTGCATAATAATGATCAACTTTAAATATTTTTTCAAAATCACCTATTTTAGATTTTTATATTAATAAATATTATATAAACTTGTTAGATCTTTCTTTTTTTTTTTTGTAAATAAAAGATAATAAACATATTAATACAAATATTATTTTACATTACCTTAAAAGTAATTAATTTAAGCTATATTTTCATATAATTATATAAACAAAAAATATAATACCTTTTTTCTTACAAAAAAAGTGTTAGTAACTATAATTATACTAATTAACTATTAGTTAACACTCTAATACAAGTTAGACAACAATTAAAGTAATAATTTATTTGAGTAAAACATAAGATTCTTGTCAATACATATATGTTTGCACTTGTATAGTTAAAGAAAAATTTTCAATTTTTATCAATTTTATGCATTCTGATTAGCAAAGATCTGCAATATTATGACAGGTAACAGGCTAGGATGGTTAGAAATTACATAACCTAATACTTCAATTTTGTCATAGCTAGGGAACCCAAATTTAGATAAGTTTTGATTACTCTTGTAGGTTTAGGTTACAGATTATATGTCTAAGTTTTTATTCTTCATATATAATTTAAAAGCAAGCTTTTCTTTATAAAAACTTTAATTGAATTTCAATAAAGTTAAAAGCATGTCTTTATTATTAATATTTTTTAAAAAAAATAATATATAAATTTTATAAAATCACTTATTATTATATAAATATAAAAAAATAATATATAAAATTTTAATAGACCTAACCAGTAATGCATCTCTAGTATTAGGCAGTTTGCTTTAAATTTTATAACTGCTTGTAAGTTTAAAACCTACTAGTAATAAAATTTGAAAAAATATATCTGTATTATAGCAATAGCATTCTATTAATCAGTTAAAATAAGATACTTGTAACTATAGTTACATTAGCATAATTGGCAAGTCAAAGAGCATTTATATAATCTTGATTATACAAAGAAATACAAACCAATATTGAGCAATGCAAATTTAAGATAAGTCTTTATGGTCATATAAATTTGTAAAACTAAAGAAACTAAAACCTATTTGAAAAAACCTAACTAAAAAGGTAATATAAAATTTTGATAATATTACTATAAAGACTAGATCTAGAAAATAAATATTAATATAAAGAAATTAAACAGACAAAAACCTCTAAATAAAGATTTACTAATTAGATTATTGAAGTCTCAAACTAAAACAAAAGAATATTGAGTCAGATTTAATATACTAGAGACAAATTATAGTCTTATCAAACTATTTAAATTAAAAAATCAAATATTAAAGCAAGGGTATACTATAAGTATTAAAGATATGCTATAAAGTTAGTACTAGGGTTTAAGTAAATTTTGCAAAGATAAGCTCTGCTAATGTTTTATAAAAAGTGAGCAAACTAGTTAACAGAAGGGCTTTCTGAAGTTTTACATTTAGATAATATATTTTGAAATATAAAATAACTTAACAGATATACAGAAAAAGAAGCCAAATTTAGATTAGATGGCACTTAAATATACAGAAACTTGTGTACTATTTGTCAGATATAGTATAAAGATCAAAGTATTTAATTAAATAATCTTTTAGCAGATTACAAATATAGCAGCTAGTATAAAACCTGTAGGTAAACTACTTAAATAAATAACTAAATGTCATATATATGCCTAGTTGTATACTTATTTTATACAAATTATATAACTATAATTAAAAACACAATAAAGATAATAGTTATTAATAACAATAAGCTTAGCAAAAACAAAAAAAATAAAAATAAAAAAGATTTTTAATTTATATTTTTTGTATTACAAACTAATATTTTATATGAGCATATTTTTTTATAATTAAACATACTATAAATTTTTTAAAAAATAATTTTTTCAAAAATTATTTATATATAAAAAGTTTATTTAAAATAAGTTTTAAAAATAAATAATATAAAATAAAATAAAAATATAATTAGTTTTTAATATATAATATATATATTTTTTAATCTTAAAATAATTACTTATGATCTAGAATTTTTTTTTATTTTTTTTAAATATTAAAATAAATAGTTATAATCTAGAATTTTATTTATTTTTTTTTTGATGTTAAGGTGACCTTTTGGGCTTTTTGATTTTATTTAACAATAGTAAATGTAGTTCAGTAAACTACTACAGAAAAAGCATACAATTGGCTATATGTGTAACTTGTCTAAATTACCTATTTAAGAAGTCTGTCTAAAAATTTCTTACCAATTGTCATACCTAATACCCTTGCTTGGGTATTCTACTTTAAACTCTTTGAATCTGCAAACCTGTTAACTTTATTGAGTCATATCTGATGCCCAGATCATCATCTTAATCTTAGGACTATTTTATTCTTGAAATAAACCTCTCAAAGCCTTCTGTATCTATTTTTACAGCTGACCTAAGTATCACTATAGCAAAACCAACACTTGCAGTCAGAGCTTAATTATTAAACCACTATGCCCTTATAGAGTTTACTTAGACCTTAGCATCTACTTTATAGCATAACTCTGGTACTTTCATATACTTTTGCCTTTTTACCTACCTTTTTACCAAACTTCTAATCCAGATAGCCCATGTAGGACTATGACCAGTTTATTGGTATATCGGGTCGGCCCGATATCCTTTTTCTCTAGTTCATTTTAGCAGCCTATTTGGTAGTACTTCTGAGCCACCCAACCTAGAGGTTTTTGCCTGTTCAGCTACTATGACTGGGTATTATGACCTTGGTATCTGTTTTCTTAGACTAGCCTTTACAGTAGGGCATCAAAGATTCAGCTACCTCTCTACTTGGGTCTTTCCAAATAGACTTCTTGTTATCCAATTTCAACAGATTTACATGGCCACAAGGACTTATCTAGTGTTTGCACTGCCCAATTTGTTAG